TTCTGGGAGAAAAGTTGCAATTCTGTGCAGATCCTGCTTTGCCTGAGATAATCTGGTTTTCTGGAGCATAAATATATCTAACATTTACAACGATGAAGATACCTGGTCTGCCACAATTAATCTTCTAGACTTTAAAAGATGCCACAAACTCCATTGTTGTAAAATATACAATCTCACTTTCCTAAATGAGGGAAAGATGGACAGATAGGCAAGAAGATTTGTTTCTAGGGTGGTTGAAAAGTTTTATTGTAGAAAGAAAGAAACGATCTTGAGCCGAGAAACAGTATTCTCAGAAAGATAATTTACGAAGAACATGGTGCATGTTCTCTGTGTGGCTATGCGCCTATGCCTGTGTTACGCACCTGGGTACCTTCTTCTGGGGCCTCAGAGAATGAAAGTACTCTGGTTTTACACCGGATGGCATCACACCGGATTACTCTTCCGTTTCTAACTGGATCTTCCTTCCCACGTTGTCCTACCTAGAGGTGGGAGAACCTGGGTCTCTGGCTGTGGGCGAGTTCCGATTGATCTGATCGCCTTAAGGATTCCGAAGAACAGGCAGGAGGCGAGATGAAGTCGGAAAGGCCTACAAACGCCTCTTCAAATCTCTGCCTAGCCCAGGGCCTGCCTGCTTTCCGGAGCAGGCCAAATTAAAAAGAAAGGAATCCTCTACTAGAGGAAAAGCGCGGGGGGCCGGATGTTGATGGTGGCGGTGGAAGAGAGCTGGGAATTTTTTATTTTTATTTTATTTTTTATTGGGCTTTCAGAAGAAGCTCTGGGCAACTTCGCTGAGATCGGCTTCAAAACAAGCGCATCTTCGCTTGCTCTGCAAACCAGCTCTCTCTCTCTCTCTCTCTTTTTGCCACCCTTCGCGCCAGTTTAGCTTAGGATGTAGCAGCGACCCCACCTCACTTTCAAAGGAATAAAGAAGGGAGAGAGAGAGAGAGAGAGAGAGAGGCTAGCCAAGAGCGGGAAAGGGGCGGGTGGGTGAGGAGAGTTGATTTTGCTGTCAGAAGTTCTGTCAAGCACTTTAACCGAAATGGCTTAAATCCTGCCCTGATTGCGCAAGGGGAGGCAGAGACAAACGACGACGACGACGACGGAAAGGAAAAGAGGACACATTAAACGCCCTGCCTAGGGGATTAAGCTCTGTTCGATGCAATCAAAAGCACATAGGATTGGGGCTGCGCGAAAGTGAAAGGAAAAAAACCTAGGATATAAGCTAATGGGGAAAGGCACCAAGAAGTTACTGGGGGCTTAGTTCCCGTGGATCTCCGAGACCCACCCACCCATTGCCGGGTGGGGGTTAAGAAACACGGAGAGATCTCCGTCCACGTCTCGTTCGCTGCCTACCAGGAGTTCCCGCTCCTCACGACCAGCTAAATTTGGCTATGGGATTTTCCTCTGGGTATGTACGGAGGTGGGGGGGGGAATTGCCTAGCGAAACCCAAGCTGGTCACCTCTGAGGGGGATGAGCCGATGGTAAAGTGTGCACGGGGAGAGGCCAATAAGGTGCCCCAATAATCTGGCCGCAAGTGGCGGCCGTGAATGGCAGCGAACGGAACCTTCCGAAGCAGCCCTGGAAGGGGAACAGACGGAAGTAGTACGCTGTCATTAAAATGGAATCTAGTGAATAGAACAATGGATATATTAAAAATAACCTCCGTCCGGTAAAGAGTGAGAGTTCCTGCAAGTTCGAAATTTTGCCCAACTCAAAAAAGACTCTGTCGGGCGTCCCCAGGAGGGCTCTGCGGTGAAAGAGAGAAATCCCCCTCCGCCCAGAACGAGATTAAATCCTCTAGAACATCCCTCCACCTGGCTACCCGTTGGCATTAAGGGTTTAGGAAGGACGGAGAGGTGGGGAGGGAATTCATGCCCTCCTTCCTAAGGAGAAGGAGCGAAGGGGAATCCGATCTGGAGAAGCAGGAGCCGGGCCAACCCGGCACGATCCTGGCGGGCGCCCGTTGCTCCTTTCCGCTGCTTGGGAGAATCGGAGGGAGCCCAACGTCTTCCTCTCCAGTTTTTTCAAGGGAGGCGGGCGGGCGGGCGGGCGAAGCGACGGGACCCGGGCTCGCCAAATGTGCTGGACTTAGAAGTGGGGCTGGGGATCGCATCCGGAGCCAGGAAGACCACGAGGAGCGAGGGCCGCGTCCTTCCTCGCGGCGCTGCTGCTGCTCCGAGGATTAGCCCTTTGCCGGTGGGCAGGAGAGAGAGAGAGAGAGATTCTCCCCAGAAACCAGGGAAGGAGGCTGGGTGGCGCCTCCATTGCTGGTGTTTTTGTTTTTAAAGGACATTAGCTAACTATGATTTCTTTTTTTAAAAGAAAACCCATCTTAGTCCTACTAAGTGGCTTAATGTAAAAATGCCGCCAAATAATTGGTGCCCTCAAGTGGGGGATTGATTTGAAGGGGGCAGGAATTATTTTGAAACAGGTTTTGCGCCAATCAGTTGTTTTGTGGGTTTCGAAGCGATCCTTCCTCGGTTTTGTCTTACCTTGGAAGGCGCCGGGCGAAAGCTGCCGAGTCCGACCGGCAGATCTTTCTAGCCACCCAACTAACTGGCGGCTGTTAGGAGCAATTTCTTAAGTGGAGGGGCTGAAAGTTCCTCTAGCTTTAAGCCAAGAGAAAGAAGGTTTCGAGACGTGTATCTTCAGATAGTTAAAACACATCTAGAATTTAAATAGGAGGGCCCATTCTGTTAAACCGCCTTCAGTCAGTGTAAGAAGTATAAAATAAAATAACATAGGTGTGATTTTGCTTTCTTCGGACCTGTATATGTCCCGATTTCCTTTGGCCTTACTGGGTGCAAGGAATTCTAGACCAGCTATTAGTTCCAATTGGTTTTGTGTGTTTGTTTACGTCAAGTCTGCTTTCTGAAAGATTTATGTTTTCAAAGTAAATCCGGTGTTTCTGTCTGGATCAAAATATTAAGTTATTTTTTTTAAAAAAAATCAGATTTATACTTATTTATACTCAACATTCCTATCTATAATTACTTCCTAGCTGACTACTTGTGTTGTATTTTGTTTTCTACTAAAAACCTATTTGCTATTTCAAATAAGGTGTTTCTTATAATCAATGCTACCGATTGGAAGAAAAAATACACTTCAGTACAAGCCTGAATGTATTTACTTCTTTCACAGTGATCGCATTTGCGTCTAGGTAAGAGGCTCGTGAAAGTTGCAATAGCAGAGAGTGAAATTATACCAATACAGTGAACTGCCTACTGCACCTGGGAGAAAAGAAACCGGGCACGCACAATACGATCCTAAAGTTAAAGATATTCACACCTTAAACACTAACTCCAAGTTTCAGTTGTGGCGTGTTTTCCTAAACTACCTAAACAGAAATGTTTGCCTTAAATCAAGCACATAAATGCAAAAACAATTTTCTCATTTTAAAATGTTGGATCGATAAGTTTTTGGGTTTTTTTTTTGCGCAGGGTGTGGGAGAGAGGGTCTTTAGCAAATATTCTGTTTTTCAAACCTGGGGGATATTTCGTAAGCCCCTTATTCTCCATCCTTTGCTCTGCCTCCCGCCTGGTGGACTACCTTTTTCTCAAAGTCTTAACCACCGCCCTCAAACCACTTGGGGTTATTTAGTGCCCGCTGCGGACTTTATAAAACTTCGAGGTGGGCCGGCCACTCAAGTTGGTGAAATCCTCGTGGGTTGGTTTGTTTTTTTTCTTTTTCTTCTTTTTTTTTTTTAAAAAAGAAGCTCCTGTGATAGAGGAGAAAGCTGGAGTGGGGCTATCTCAGAAGTTATCGCAGAGAGAAGTCGAAATGGCTGTGGAGGGTGGGTGTGCGCTGGGGGGTGGCGAGCGGGGGGGGGCGGGAAGGGGGGTGGCGAGCGTCTTTCTCCTTTGGCGGGTTCAACACTTTTTTAGCTGTTTGGAGCAAAACGAGGGACTGGATTTTCTGGGCCAATCGCAAGGCGAGACTAGACACCGAGCTGCTGATTGGCTGGACGGAGGTTCTTAGCCTGTGCGTAGCCCCTAGTTCATGTCTACTCAACTGAGTCCAGCTGGCGCCAGAGCTGACACAAGATGCTTTGGGGATGTTACAAAAAAGGCCAGAATAAGTGGAGCTTGCCATCTGAGTAAGAGCCTCCATCCAATTCTCCTCTCTCGCGCTCTCCTTCCACTCTCCCTCCCACACGCCTTTTTTTTTTGTTTTTTTTTTGCATTTCCATCCTCCAAACAATCATCCGTCACCCTCCCCGCCGCCCCCGTTTACAACCTAAAGAAACTTTTCAAACATTTGGAGTTCGATTCAGTCTGTTGGAAGATCTCCTTGTAAGTATGTCGCTGAGCTGAATGCGGGTTGGGTAGCGGTTGAGGGTGAGGAGGGGGCGGGAAGCGACGCCTGGTTTTTATTTATTTATTTTTTAATTTTGCAGAAATATAAATGCTTTCCAGTTTCTTAACTCCCTTCTGTGAGTTTTAGGACCTTTTGGGAAAATGTCAGCCTGGTCTCCTTTGTGGGCAAATGTAGATCAAAAATCTGCCTGGTGCCTCGTATTGTTCTGGTTAAAGAAGGTCGTTCTGGCCGTGTTTATTCGTGGCCAGGGCAGCCCATGGAGGATGCGAAAGGCCGGGGAGGGGGAGTGGAGTGCGGTGGACGCCATGGGATCGCTTTCGCTCTGCTCTGTGCCTGCCTCCCGCTCTTCCGCGTTTCCCTGCGTGCAGCAGTCCCTGCCGCGGTCTCTTCGGTGTTAACCTCTTCCAAAGGCCCGCCGTTGTACTCATCCTTCCCTCTTTCTTACAGGTGGTGATCCCAAGTGTGTGGCAACCGGAACCTCTCTCCGCAGCTTCCCGCCTTCAAAGAGAGACACCTTTGCTTCTTCTTTTTTTTTTCTTTTCCTCCTCCCCACTCCCTCCCCCAACCCATCTTCCAAGGCCACCTCGCCGCTTCCGAGAGCTCTGCGATTTTTAAACCAAACGAAACTAAAGGCAAAACGGTTTGGGGGTTGGAAGGAGGCGGGGGAGGGGGGGGCCTTAAGGGGCGGAGTGGGAAGAAAACCCACCGAAATGGAGGTAGCTACGGACCAGCCACGCTGGATGGCCCATCACGCCGTGCTGAATGGGCAGCACCCGGAGAGTCATCACCCGGGACTGGCTCACAACTATATGGAACCGGCACAGCTCCTACCTCCGGACGAAGTGGACGTCTTTTTTAACCATCTGGACTCCCAGGGCAACCCGTACTACGCCAACTCCGCCCACGCCAGAGCCAGAGTTTCCTACAGCCAGGCACACGGTAATTCGGCCTCCCCGTTGCCCCCTTTCCTCGCTTCCCGTTTTTCTGCTTCGGCCCCCTCCGGCTTGATTGGTCTCGGCAGAGAAGGGGCCCGGAAGGTTTCGGCCAAAGCAGCAGTAAAGATAGCCAGGGTGGGCTTTGAATCCTAGGGGGCCCCAAAAAGCCTTAGCTCGCCACTTTGAGGGCCCCCTTTCCATTGACCGCGGGGCTGGGGGTGCGGGGGTGGGGTGGGGTGGGAGAAGAGAAAAGGGAAGCGACGTCCTTGTGCGTGGAGGAAGAGAAGGTTATTAAATGCATTTCGCAGCCGCAAGACAGGCCCGTTTTCCGGATGCCAAGGCTTCGCGTAATTTGAAACACTTTTTAAACGTTCGTCCTTAGTGTCCGCATAAGAACTGTGTGTGTGTGTATGGGGGGGGGTGGTTTGCAAAGAACTCCCATTTTTGGAAACTAGGAAAATAATCGCCAACCGGGACACCCTGCACACGTGTGTTCGTAGGCCGCCTGTCTTGCAAACCTCTTTGGGAAGCAAGCGGGGGGGGGGGGGAGAAAACGCCTGCCCTTCGCTTGTCAGCTTGCTCCGGTTGACATTTTTTACTTCCCTCCACGTTCCAACTAGTTTGGGGCGTCCGATTGTGGAAGCAGCGGGGCGATATAAGACTCCTGCCCGACTCTGCTTTCCGTCACTTACCCTTGATCAAAGTGTGTATGTGTGTGGTGGTGGTGGGGTGTCCCAGATGAACTGGGAGGGGGAGAGATAGAAGCAACCCATTCATTCATGTTTGTGTTTTTTTCCCCCCCCCCCCCCCCCCGATTTCTCGGAGGAGGCCCTCCTCCTAGATGGCTTTTTTAAAACCCGCATCTTTAAAACGTGCTGCCTGTTTTGCGGTGAGAGGCCGCAAAGAATTTGGGGGCCCACGTTTCAGCCGGCTCCCCTCCGCGGGTTCAAGGGAAGGCGGGAAGGCAGCTGAGCCGCTGCCTCCTCCAATTGTGACCCGTGGTGGGGATTTGGGAGCAGACCTTCACGTTGGCGGCTCTGGGACGAACAGGTCAAGGAGGGAGGCAGGCTGGCGGGGGCGGGGGGGGGGCTCTCTGCTTGTCCACCAAGCCCTGCTCCAGCAGGAGGAAAACCTTGGAGGGGGGGCGGGGAGAGAGGCGAGAGTGGGAGACGAGCTGTTTTTCACCCCAGGCTTTTGGCCTGGCTGACTGGCGCCTTTTCCTCCTTTCCCAGCCCGTCTGACCGGCGGCCAAATGTGCCGGCCTCACTTGCTCCACAGCCCCGGCCTGCCTTGGCTGGACAGCGGCAAAGCGGCGCTCTCGGCGGCTCACCATCACAACCCGTGGACGGTGAACCCTTTCACCAAGGGGCCCTTGCACCCTTCGGCGGCCGGCGCGCCGCCCGGCGCCATCTCGGTTTACCCGGGAGGCAGCAGCTCCGCGTCGAGCGCCGCCTCGGCCTCCTCGCTCACGCCGGCCTCGCACTCGGGCTCCCATCTCTTCGGCTTCCCGCCGACGCCGCCCAAGGAAGTCTCGCCGGACCCCAACGCGGGCAGCAGCGCCGCCTCGCCGGCCTCCGCCTCGGCCGGCGGCGGCGGCGGCGGCAGGCAAGATGACAAGGAGCCCCTCAAATACCAGGTGGCCCTGGCCGACGGCATGAAGATGGAGAGCGCCAGCCCGCTGCGCAGCAGCCTGGCCGCTTCCATGGGCGCGCAGCCGTCCACGCACCACCCGATCCCCACCTACCCTTCCTATGTGCCCGCCGCCCACGACTACGGCGGCAGCCTCTTCCACCCGGGCAGTTTCCTCGGGGGCCCCGCTTCTAGCTTCACCCCAAAGCAGAGGAGCAAAGCCAGGTCCTGCTCAGGTAAGACCGCTTCCCCCCCCCCTCCTTCTTCTTATTCCCAAGCCTTTCCGAAACGCCTCGCCCTGCCTTTAAATCGCGGGTGGGGTGTGGGGTCGGGTGTAAAAGCTTTTCTGGTGGGAATTATGTCATGAACGCCCCTGTCTCAGAGAAGCGATGGAGGGAATCGTTTTGTTTTTGTTTTGTGTTTGCCTCTTGAACTTTTGCTGCTTGTCTTTGCTGTCTCTCGGATAAGTTTTATAATATAATATAAATATAATACAATATAAATTTATAATATAAATGTAAGTTTATAAAATGCCCCTGTTCACAAATAACAGCTATCGATCGTTAGTAACAGTTGTAGTCATGGAAGGGTGGGCTTGAGGAGGGTTTATTCTTCCCTGTGAACTGCAGGATTGAGGATGTATTCTGTTTAGATAATGCACACCAAAAAATAAGCATTGGAAAATATTTCAGTAGGTAAAAATCTGGACAAGTATTTAATAAAAGCAACAATTTTGATTTGAACATTTTAGACAGGATAATATGGACTGTGTTTCTTTCCAAATAAAAAATACTGTCCCTCTCCCCAAATATATTTGACTAATATTTTTTAAATATTCACGCACATATAAGCGCAATCTTAACAGGACTGAAATGAATGTTTGACTGCTATTCTCAATTCAGTCCTAGTTTAATAATTCCAAATAAATGAATCACCACTTTGATCTTTTAACTGTAATAATCCAGGGAGATAACAATCATGATTGCTAGTATCAGTGAGCTTCTGGAGCTGGGTCATTTTTTCAAAAACTCCCCTTAATGTGTGGTTTAAATATGTTAAAGGATAAGCATGAAAGGGTTTTTTTTTTTAATGGCTAGTTTTAAAATTTCCTGATCAGATTTGAATGGATTTCCATACATTTTAGTGAGAACATGTAACAACATTTAAGTTATCAGCAGTTTTTCCTGAGAATGTGGAGCACAAGAGCATTTCCAGTTTGTTATCTTTCATAATTTTAGTTTTTGCTAATTAGTTGGCAACCCAGGTCTCTTTTTTTGTTCCAGTCACTGATCTCCGTAGAATTCACTCATTGCTGAGCCCAAAAGCTGCCATAATCCATGAAAAAAAAAAGACATACAAAGTTTGTAGATCTGAATTATGCCGATAAGAGTTTATATTGGTAAACCTCTTAATGCAACCCCATCGAAATCTGGGGCAACTAAATTCATTGGAAAATCCTGATATGCCTTATACTCTTTTGGGTGGGATTTCCATTACTGAAAATTTTAGTTAATTTGTTAACTGCTTAATAAAGATGAACTTTATGGTAAATTTCTGTTAACTTTCAATAAAATTGATCTTCATTAAACAAAGGACTTTATAAAGACTCAGCTGTTAACTGAAATTTACAAGGTCATTTTCTTAGAACGTCTACAGAACTTTGCTGTCTCGATACATACGAAGAACAAAGTTCAAACATAGTTTATATAGAAGTGCAGGCTTCCAAAGTACCTTTTAAATGATAGTTTAAATGAATCCAATAAAACTGGAGGAACATCATATGTCTTAACTCCAGTTCATCTGTTTGTTAAACCTGCAACTTATTTGCCTGTTGTTACCTTTACAGATTTCAAGCCAAACATGCTCTTGCTTATATATCTTTTTAAAAAAGACATTCAGTGTAATAAATAATACCCACATGAAATCAAACTTAGAATATTTTATATAAATTTAATATTGTAATGGCTTTATTTGTAAAAAAGATAAAATTTATTGTGATATCAAAGAAAAACAAAACAAGATAGATTTGCACCTCTTTTCAACATGGGTAGTAATTCAGAGACATGACTGCTTTTAGGAACATTGCAAGAAAAGTACAGTACGTTTTGGTTGCTTCTCTGTTTGGATCATCTTCTTTCATGAAATTCTGGAATTTTATGTTATATGCCTCAGTGATAATATAGATAGATAGATAGATAGATAGATAGATAGATAGATAGATAGATATAGATATAGATATAGATATTTTCAGCTACTTTTATATACTGCTCTCCATTGCAATAGGAATTGCTGGGAAATTTGGTTTCAACCTTCCTCCCACAACTTCTGTCCTCCTTTGCCATGCTCTACACTGTTTATGAGATGAAGAAGTTTTGTAATGGAGATCCTGTCTTGTAGATGAAACTGGCGAGAGTTCGTGACCATTTAATGTTTTTGTAGGAAAAGCAAGACTCACGACAAGGCGACTCCTGCAGCTTCCTGCTTAAGGAGGGACAAACGCTAGGAACTCCTGGCTTCACAGAGGTCCCTCATTTTTCACTCCAGCCAAGGCTGTTTAAAAACCACCCACTCCATAGATTAAAGGAGACACAGACACAGCTGAACTTAGCATGGCCAGCTCAAGTTACTGCCAAAGTGTATTTCCTCTGCATTAAATACTGTATGATTTGCATAAGCTCTGTTCAAAGAATTTCCTTGCCCTCAAACAAATGAACTTTTAGTTAATATTCTTGCCCGCACCCCCTCTCCTCTTAAAAAAGACTCCTGTTGAACAAGCAGCCATGTTTAAGCATTTTGAGGCAGATCAATCTTAAGCCCCATAACAAAGAGAATGCATAATAAATTAGATTTTGGATACGAGGGTATATGGCGTGCCCAGAAACAAAAGTTAATTCTGCTTCGATCTAAAGAGTGCAACATTTATAAGAAAGAAAGAAAAAAAAAATTGGGCAAGCCAGAGGAAGAGAATTTTTCTCTAACTCCAAAACATTAATGAACAAAGATTGTGTATTCTTGTTTCAGTTCCAATATTACTTCTTAGATGTTGGAGAGAAGAGAGAGAGAGAGAGAGAGAGAGAGGAAAGAACAGCTTATGACTCTACATTTTGGAACAGAGTCTGTTTTCTCATGTGGCAGCTGTAATAAAAATACCACTGTCTAGGTTAGACAGAGTTATTGTTACATGAGAAAGTAAATGCTTGAAAACTGCATGTTCCTACCTTTTATTGTATGTACTGTCAATGTTGTGTCACTGACCTGTCTTTTTTCCTTCCCTTTGAAATAAATTTGAATGATAATAATGTGCTGTTTTGATATCTGGAATCTACCTAAATGGACAATGCAAAAAGCTTTTGTGAATTTGTTTTTAAAGAAAGAAATCCGGTTTCTTCGTGTTTCCATTTAGAAGGCAGAGAGTGTGTCAACTGTGGAGCTACTGCTACCCCTCTCTGGAGAAGAGACGGTACCGGGCATTACCTGTGTAACGCCTGCGGGCTGTACCACAAAATGAACGGTCAAAATCGACCTCTCATTAAACCTAAGCGGAGACTGGTAGGTGCCTGTTTCTCTATCAGGTTCGGGGCAAAATGGTTTCATGGGACCATCCCTGCATATGAAGGAAGAGGGTACAACCTGAACCCATCTGTGGGATTCAGAACTTGCCTGGAAGCTAGATACTGTCTGCACATGAAGTCACTGAGAGGCCACAGAGTAGCCTAGGGAACAAACGGCTAGGGTCCCACCCATAGAAATTTACATGTCAGGATGCAAAACAGTAACCATTTCATAGGGGGATATGTACATGCGCTTTGTATGCTCATAGTCTATTCTTGACTACAGCTTTAGAAGTTCTGTGATTTATTGCCCGTCCAACAATCTTATGAAGTAGGCCCATGGCATAGACATTCACTGCTTCACATGCTTACGTTCTGACTGTCTGTATTTTTGCAACACAGCCTGTTTCAGAGTACTTGCCCAATTAAATCAGCCCATTTCTTCCTGTGCATTATTCTGCCTCTTTTATCCAGAAAAGACAGCTTTAATTCATTTGACCTCTTGGACAGGTCAGATGGACTCTCAAACTGAAAGAATCACTCTTGCCTGCCTGCCCTCCCAGCTGAAAAGTACAAAAAGTGACCCAAAACAGAAAGCATTAAAAATAATAATAATAATAGATGACTCAAAACTGTTTCTGTCTGTTCAGTCATTATTTGGATGGTTTTGTAGTCAGAGATTCCATGGTAAACCTAACATTAGTCTTCTTTAGAGACAATCCTCTGATTGCCCTTTTCAAGGGCTGATTATTTTTCCATGGAGTCACCTATACTTTGTATTTTCATTTCAGGGTTGTTGATTTTTTAATTTTTGAAAAAAATTTCTGAGCTCCTGGTAGTAGTTTCCTATCCGGATATCTGTATTCTGAAGATAAGGAAACTTTGTGTATCTGTTTCCTGGCTCTAAAAGCTTTAAAGAGTTTCTATAGGCAGGCCATGCTATTCAGGCAGTCTGTTTTGAAATTGCAAATAGGCTCTGCTGTACAAATATTTGTTTAAAAAAAGGAGAACACACACACACACACACACACACACACAGAACAATGTGATTTAGGGGGACCAAAAAATGCCCTTTCTCTTTGGCAGGGGGCATTTTTCCAGAATGATTATAAGGCTGAAGGAATAATGCTAATGATCTAATGCTGAGACAGGATGCAGAGGATTTTGAGGGTCAGAACTTCAAGCGAGCGATTGTTTTAATGACTTACTTTTCTTTCTAAGTGATTGACACAACTAGAAAAATGTTAAGACAACAGGGAAATGTTATTGTCTCTGACAGGGCAAACTCCATCCCAGACTAAACGGGACAGGCTGCAGAGTTAAGGGGCCAGTGTCTAGTAGGACACTGGAATAAGAAATAAGGAATAGGGAATATGAAAACATAGTGCTCTCTCTTTCCCCCCCCCACAAGTATAGATTTTAGTAGGTGAGTTTCTAGAGATATGTGTGTGTATTAAATGTTGGGTCAGAGAGAAGGCAATTTTAAAATTTGGAACAAATCAATATAGTCATCATTCCCTTGTCCAGTGAAAAATAAGGTGCATTTTAAAACTCGATTTTATCTTGTCTCATCTTGAAACAAGAAAAAAATTGGAAGTGAGAATAGAAAGGGGACCATTCGTCTATCTTGTCCCAAGCCTATAGCCTGATAAAAAAAAAAAAAAATTATCCTTTTCTAGCAAGAGCCTCATTGCATCAATTGATGCACTGGTTTGGCATCTCTTAGTTCAGTGTTCCCAACCTTGGCCACTTGAAAATGGGTGGACATCAACTCCCAGAATTCCCCAGTCAGCCATGTTGAAGTCCACACAACTTCAAGTGGCCATGGCTGGGAAACGCAGTTTTAGACTTCGAGGTTCCTGGCAGCAGTAACCTTTTATGGGGTTTCAACAAGAAAAGGAAGTATACTTGACTAGTTTAGGTATCCCCTGTTCTTAAACTGTATTGCATTTCCAGTGAATTAGCTCAGTAAGGGTTCTCTGACTTACAGTCTTGCAGGTTGGCAATAGCTGTAGATCAGTAATAGAGCACATTTTTTCATGCAGACAGTTGGAGGTTCAATTCTTGGTAAACGAAAAAAAAAATTAGATGCATGGGAGAGCTTTTTCTTGGGGCCACACTGGTATTTGGAGTAGACTAAACTATATGGACAAAAGAGATGCAACTTGTTTTAAGGGAGCTTTTTACAAATGGCATCAGAAAACACTCTTAGTTAGGAAAATAATATAATTGCCGCTTCTCCGGTGTATACTTGGTCCCATTTAAAAAATTTAAATAATATTCTTTCTTCTCCCATGTTGTTGTTTAAACAGCAATTAATTCCAGTTAGGTTTATGTAGGAGAATTGTCTGAAGGATTGTGTGTGTAATTCTCTCAGTTATACTTAAAAGTATTTTAAATTCTGCTACTTGACATAGATGCCACATTCAGCTATTCTGAATTTTTAAAGGGTCAGTTATATTCCACATCCTTTTAACGTGTGTACTAGTTACAGTTGTACACAGCCTGGGTTAGTGTGAGTCCCATTGAAATCAGTGGGATGTCAGTAATAGTATTTGTTGAAATAAAGGAATATCTTTATACATCTCTTATTATTCTTGAATTTGTAATAGAAAGTTGTGCAAGATTCATGAAAAATTGAATGCGCGTGGTAGATAATTCAGTATATATTATAATGGGGAAAGTATTAATATTTGGCATACATAGTAAAATCAGGCTCTCTTAATTGCCTCGTGCTTTCAGATTTGTTAGACTACAATTTCCATAGTTCTTAGACATGATCACCATTTTAGACTATACATAGTATTAATTGTCTTGTAGTGGAGATTGGATAAAGTATTAACAAAGCCTGTTTTATGGGACTCCAGATTTAGATTAAAGAAAGCACTTTTACCACATTGATTTGTGGACAGTACAGCTTGCTGCGTCCCAGGCTCTCTTCCGTGTTCTTCATTCTGAGATTTTTTAAAAATATTAAGATTTAAATTTGCATAGTTCTCATGCTTTAACATCAATAGCAGAAGGACAGGTTTCATCTTTATTTTCAAGAATGCATCTCAGTCTCAAATAAAAAAGATGTCTTGTTGCATAACTGGTGCTCTTTTTGGGAGTAACCCTAGCTGCTCACAAAAAGGGAGCTAGTAAACAGGGGAAAAATTTTGAGAAATGGAACTTTTAGGTAGGGTTGGTTGCATTCTGGTGATTTGGTACCTTATATCTGGCTGTTTCCCCTTTTGAAGTAAATCAGTGAAGTTTTCTGAACCAAATCACCAAAATTCTCCTCTCCTCTCACCATTTTCTCAAGGTTAGAATGAACCCACCAGCCTTTATACTTGGGAGTCTGATCTAAATGATGAGAAATATTGGTCTGATTTACATTCTCAATAAATCAGGATTATATGGTGGCTAGCAGTATTATTGCATGGCCGCTTCCAAAATCAGCACAGAAATTAATTTGATTTTAAAAGGCCTCTCTCACAGACTAAATATTTTATGTGGAGAAAAAGCAGCTATATTTCCACATACTGCCTGAAAGAGGGAACAAAATTATTTCCTGAAACAGGAACCCTTTCTTACCAAAGATTCTTTTGTGAAAGAGAGGGTGCATTTTCCTCTTAAAAACTTCTGAAATGACCCTATTGTTTTCAGGGTTATGGGTCACTCCGCCAAGAACCAATTTAAGGGGGAAAGGCATTTTTTCTGAATGTAAATCTTACTTTCATGTACAAAATCAACCCCTCCACTCCTCTTTAGGGCCAAGCAAAAATTAATGCAATTCCCATTGGAATCCATAGCAATCTTTCCACATATTAGCACAGCAATGTATTATTAGTACAGGTCATTTATTTAAGCTGCTCAAAACTTCAGCCTGAATACAAAGATTTATAGAACAAATGAGCTAATCAATAGATGCTACTGTTTGACTGGCATTTGTTTGCTAAAGTGTAGCAAATTCATTTACTTCTTTTAGATACAAAGAGAAAGTTATCAGTTATATATTAAAATGAAAGCTACGGTATAATACAGCTGTACCCGCATCATCTTTACAAATATGGTAATTATGTGAAAGAAAATATACTGAAGGCTTTTTCAGTATAGCATTATAGATCCCTATTATTACAATCGGGTTGCTGAGGCAGAGTGTTAAGTACCGGAACAAGTAGCCTAAATATTCCAAATCCTTAAATTGCAAGTTATTAAAATTAAATAAATTTGTCTTTGAAAGGATTAAAGCATTTTGGTCCTTATTAATCAGAAATGGGGCATTTACATGGAGTTTAATTTACCTTGTTTTTTATGAGTGATGGTGAAAATACACTCACTAATTAAAAGTCTGATATTTGTAATGTCTTGGCATTTGAATGTTCAAATAGATGTTCAACAGAAGGGCCAAGGATACCAAGCCCTGAGGCACTGCACAAATGAGGAACCATTAGCTTGACCTCTCCCCATCAATGTTGACTACAGAAAAAGAGGAAAACCACTACAGTGCTGTGTCCCCACTCCGAGACCCCACAGTTAGGATTCTTAGGTCCAGTAACAGCCTTTCATGGGAATATATCACTACCTCCTTCGAAGCCAAAGCAATGATACCCTCTGCCAACATCACATGGGTCTAACTGCAGGTCACCTCATAGGCAGATTTAACAGCTGGGGGGGGGGGGCGGACCTGGATCTCAAACACAAGCAACTTTGCTTCCAGTTCTGACGACTATCCATTACTTCAGGAGGCAGAGACCATGCCCATGGCTCTTCACTCCAACTCTGAGTGTATGTGAGACTTTATCCGCAACTTAGCTTGAATGTTCTTCACAGTGATCCTGTAGGTTTTCCTGAGGGTCCCCCTCATATAAAGCAAGATTCTGTTTTGACATTTTTTTTGTCCAGATTTCCTAGTTAAGGGAACTACAGTAGATTCACCCCTGCTTAGCTTTGTGTTCTGCTGCTTTAAGCAGTTTTTGCCTACTCCAGTTCTGAGGCTGGCTGAGAGAAAATGAGTTAAAATGATGAAGTGGAATAAGAAAAGGGAAGAGTAGCGTGTGAGTAGTTATCTGTAGAGTTCAGCTACTTGGCCTACATATTCATTCTTTTCCAACTTGCCATTCTTCATGTGTGATATAATAGTTTTAAGAAGTTGAATTCTGGGAATTGTAGACCCAATATATTTGGAGGGTATTAGAGGTGGAGAAAGCCAATGAAAAGAATAACCCTCTACAGGCCTGATACATACATAGTATGTAGGTGGCTGACATGTCTCTTGATTTTTAGATGTGTTTTCACTTAAAGAACACCAGCTTTCTGTGATTTCGGACATAACCCTGGAGTTCTTCATGCATAGCTGTAATTTACTATTCATTGGCTAGTTGATTTCCCCTGCCCATGTGCAAAGGATGAGAGGACAATTGCTTGGAAGGGGGTGGGATGGGGAAACAGGTTAAATGCATAAAGCTATCCAACACCAGAAAGAAAACAGGGACATTAATAAGCATTTATGATTTTGAGTTGGGTGTGGAATTCACATTATCCATCAAATGGTCCACGTATGTTTGAATGACAAAGTCCCAAAGCAAAATAAAAAAGACTGAGACCTTTAAGAGAGGGTGGGTGTATATTTAATATTTAATTTAAAACTAATGCAACAGGCAACACCGGAATAACATTTTCTCCAACGTATTTCTATTTATTTTCATCTTTAATTAGTCAGCTGCTAGGAGAGCAGGAACCTGTTGTGCTAACTGCCAAACCACCACCACCACTTTATGGCGACGTAATGCCAATGGGGATCCAGTTTGTAATGCCTGTGGACTGTATTACAAATTGCACAATGTGAGTATTTTCTTGCCTTGTGTCTTCTTTTGCTTGCTTAGCTGAGATTGATGCCTTAACTGCCTGCTGTCCAGTATCCTTTGCATTCATTGCAAAGGGACACATTGAAAAAAAAAAACCACCACAATCCTCTTTAATGTTCCCAGGGGAAGTCATAATCATTCTTTGTTGGCATAGTGATGCTGGGTTCAATAACCTTACAATGTGTTAGCTTGGCTTCTAAAGCCCAGATAATCTAGACAAAAGAGAGTTATAACTCACAATTATTGCTAAAGCATATTCATTTCTTCTCTACTGTACCCAAGAAACACAGAAGATATTTAACACACTTTTGTATCATGAATGATTTTTATGTAAGCTTGTGCTTCAAAACAAAACAACAATTAAATGAATCTTAAAAATCCAGGCTAGGTTCAAGGAGAAAATATTGGATGTATTTGAGCATATATGGGGCAAGGTGACGGAGTTTTAAAATTCCAGGTATGAAGTCAATGTGGAAATGTGTGCAGAATATTATGTATATATACAGACAGATAGAGGTAAAGATAATATGTAAATATGAAAGACAGTTTGGTATAATAGTTACAGACACTGGATTAAAAACAGACAGGCTATGAGTTGTAATCCAGCTTTAGGCATCAAAGCCACATGAAGTTTTAGGTCAGTCACACTTCCAGCCCTATGAAGGCAGAAGAGGCAATCCAATTCTAAAAATATTGCCAAGAAACTCTGCACGAACCCTGTCTATATAGTTGCCAGGAGTCAAGATTGACTTGAAAGTGTACGTACCCCCATACACACAAATTATCTAAGGATATAGAGTTGATTTATTGTTAAAGAGCCAGAATAAGGAACTTTGGAAGAGTGAAAGCAACCAGATCATACTTGAGTTTGATGTGTTTTTATCCAATAAAGTTAATTTATAAACACAAGTTGCTGGGAGAACAAAGTGAAAACTATATAATGATGGATTAGGGGGAGGAGAGCACAAAACAAATGCTGCTCGGAGAAGATTGAGAGGGTTGTTCAAATATTTTTCTTTTTGCACAAACAATATCACTTTGCTTGCAGGAACCTGATTTTCTCATTTCTTGCAGGTGAACAGACCGCTGACCATGAAGAAGGAAGGGATTCAGACCAGAAATAGGAAAATGTCCAACAAATCCAAGAAGAGCAAGAAAGGCTCTGAATGTTTTGAGGAACTGTCTAAATGCATGCAGGAGAAGTCCTCGCCTTTCAGTGCTGCTGCCCTGGCTAGTCACATGGCACCAATGGGCCACTTGCCACCTTTCAGCCACTCTGGACATATCCTCCCAACTCCTACCCCCATTCACCCATCTTCCAGCATCTCATTTGGGCATCCACATCCATCCAGCATGGTCACAGCTATGGGATAGAGTTTAATGACTCTCACGAACTTCCAGAACTGGGCTTGGCCTAAGAGGACAGGAAGGAAAGACTTTGCCCAGGAAAGAGACTATAAGGAAGGAAGGAAGGAAAGTAAAAGGGGATTTTGTTCCAGTAGAATTCAACTCCTAGTGCTAAATGGAAACTTTGCAATGATGGGTCTTCGGCAGAAATGCTAAATGGTGCCTGTTATGCACTTTGCTCCCTCAGGTAAAAGGAGAAAGAGGAACTCATCTGTTTGATACGATACCGGCTCGTCCCAGTGGAAAGGAAAGGTGGCCAAAGTAGTGAAAGAAACTAGAGCCAGCTTTCCTTTCCCTTTGTTCATTACTGTGAATATTGTAAAGCGATTAACCATCTCCTGAAGCAGAGGAAGTTCAGTAGTAGCCACACTTGCTGGATTTCTACCATGGATTGTGTTTTGTGGGGAGGAAAAATGGACAACTTTATTAAAAAAAATCTACTTTTTAAGGAACCAGTCACATTAAAAAAATAATTATTTATTTTGCTCTTGTGCTCCAGAAAGAGCTTCAAAACTCTTGCATGAATTTATGGATCTTTTATTTTTATTTTGTTTAAAGAAACATGCAACCTAGTAGGAAACAGTTTTTCTAATTATTATTATTTTTTATTGCTTAATGGCCACATTTTTGTTTCTCTTCATTGCTGTTACATTTTTTTTTTAAAAAAAGAAAACTACTAGGAAGAGGATGTGTGTGAGAGAGGGAAGCTGTTGGCTTTATCATTGATTACAAATAGCCTCAGGCATGGATTATTCAGACATAATTTCTGCAGTCTCTTTCTCAGTGTGAATATCTTGACATGAAAGTGTGGCATTCTACAAGGGAGCAGATACACTGGACAAATGGCTGAAAGGTTTTCCACAGGGAACAATCTTGCTGTGGCTGGAGAGTAAAATAAAGGGAATCTGGATGTCTTTCTCACCATATTTTTTTAAAAGAAGATGTGTGTGGACAGCTAGTGGGCTGATAAGGGGCATTCCCACCTCAAACCATTTAGCCTGTCCTAAGGGCCTCTTCTTTGCTCTCTCGATTGCAAGTCAGCATAGACATCAGGTAGCTTCTCATAACTTATTTCATTGCCTTAGTCCAGACTTTCCCAGCTTGGTGTCCTCTCCCCAGTTACAGTCCTACAGTTACTGTCTCCTCAATCAGTACGACTCATGACCATTCCCTTGAAGAGCAGGGACATCCCAAGACATCTTACTGCCAAAGGCTGTGAGGAGATTATCCTCCACCCTATTTAATGCAGAGGAGCTGAATGAATCAGGAGGTGGTCCTTAATAATGTGGGCTCCCCAACTGTCCAGCTCCTTTCATGGCTCAGTCTGCTGGGTTGAAAATCTTCAACAATATGTTGCATTAAGACTCACAATTTCTCTTCTGAGGCATTTTTCCCATTCAGGTTTATGATGATTACCTGTATTATGGAAAGACAGATTGACAAGGTAGTGAACTGCCTTACAACAGACCCGCCAACCCATGGTGGCCATTGCAGCAACTATATTCTGCAGCAGCTGTCTTCTGCTACTTTTCCTTTTTCTTCTGTAAGATTGTTTAACGAGAGGTGTCAAATACCGAACCTATGAAACTTTTGGCGAACAAAACCTCTCTGCTGCTAGGTAACCATGGCCCACTTAGGACAATGTTTCTTAACCTTTAAACATATCTTTAAGGTTTGTAGACCAACTCCCAGAATTCCCAAGCCAACTTGCTGGGGAATTTGGGGGAGTTGAAGACTACATATCTTAAAGTGCCAAAGTTGAGAAACATTGCTCTAGAGAACTATATTCTTAGATTCAAGATGTAATTTCAGTTCATGGCAGGAAAAGGAAAACTCTTTTAAGATGAACATCCTGAAAGGTGCCCTCGTGATGGTTCAGTTTAATCTGTTTTCTTAAGAAGTTTGCCCAAGACACATAGAGTTCATCTCATACTATCTTATTATAACACTTTGGCCAAGCAAAGATGGAATTTGCCACCTGTAGGCACAGATGTTGTGACAAATGCTCTGCTTGACTAGAGGTGAAAAGCAAATAAGTAAATGAAGATCTGAAGACAGGAAGGGAAAAAAGAGATATTTTCAACTCTTTCTGATAGATCAGATGTAGCAACATCAAAGAAAGTGATCTGCTCATGAAGAAAATGGGGTATATGATTTCCTATAGCATATATATAAATATATGTAGATAGATAGATTTGTTTTTAAAGAAAATCACAAGTGTCCAGAAACAAAGTTGTCTCCCATTCTGAAACCATACTGTACGTAAACAGCTGAAGAATAAAACTCTTGCCAGTGTGAAATGTATTCTATTGATTGTTATGATCTGATGACTTTCATGATCACAAGGTCCAATATAACATATGATGTACATATGTAGCTATATTTCTGATGGAAAAAAATGACCCCAATTAACAAAGGGGATTGATAATGTAAATCGCATAAAGCTAACTCTGTGGCAGGTTTTTAAATGTATTTTTCCCCACTTTTTTTTCAAGTCAAGCCCAACTTGTATCTTTAACTGCAAAAGTCTGCTTTAAAAAAATCCAGGTGTACATTGTTTTTTGCTTTCTCCTAAGTCTGTAATTCAGTTTTTGGTACAAAGGACCAAGCATTCCGAGCAAATGCCTTTTCTCATTGTTTTGGTTTCTATAGGCATAATGTAGTTGCACTTTGTGAAGAAATAGAAATGACAGAATGCCCCCCACCACCACAGAAAAGCCCCACAAGAAACTCCCCAGAACAAAATCTGAAAGGAAATCCACATGGGATAAATATTAATTTCTGTTAGCCAAGACGGAAATTATTTACTCCTTTTTCTTGATTTGGGTGCATGTGTGTGTGTGTGTGTGTATGTGAGGAAAGGGGATTTTTAATGTATATGGTACAGTTATCCACCTTTTGCAGTAACCAGTTCAAATTCTGTTGAGGGTCAGAAGTGGGTGCGAGTGGCTGGGTGAGAGAATGAGGGAGATAATAATGCTAGGAAACAAATCCACCCAGTGCCACTGCTGCCCTGTCAAAGGCAAGGCCTACTCATGCCCTCCTTTTAGGAAGACTGAGGCTGCACATCCCAAATGCTTGCTGGACCGAGTCCAAGGTTGACAAAGTGCAATAGATTGTCAGTCACTGCAGCATAAAAGTACCACAGTCAGGATTTAAATTATTTTGTACTTAATATCAGCATAAAGATTTGGCAGTATTTTCTGGTTTTGTAAAAAAAAAAATTGGCTTAAGTTTTGGATTAGTGAACTAAGTTATTGTTAATTATGTACAACATGTTTATATATTGTCTGTAAAAAATGTATGCATCCCTCATATTCCTTCAAGGTGAATACTGCTAAGAATAATAATAACAATAATAAAAAAGATTACCCCCTTTTTGTGAAAGCAATTCTTGTTCTACTTCATGGATCCTGGATGCTCCTGTTCCTATGCGGGATGATGACCTTACATTTGTGAGGCAGTAGCATTGGTGTAATGGTGATGGGTGGAGGAGAAAGTTAGAATACGGAAGGCTACAGATGGAGTAGAAATGGACAAGGTTCTAGAACAAGGTTAAAATGTATAAAACAGTTTATGTCTGGAAAATGTCCCTGTGCAATGAAGATACACTAAACTTGTTTAATATAGCTCCTAAGTTGATACTCAAGAATCCAAGCTAGGGATTGTCTTGCTAACTGGCTCAGGCTGCTTTATCATGAAGAAGATGGATCGGAAGATCCATGATACTAAATTGAAGTGACCTAGATAAGATGCCCTCTGGAAGTCTCATGCATTCTTCTGGGCTTACCATCTTCTAGTTCCTTGGTTCCCTGGTGATCTTTCATCATCTCTGTTCTGAGTAGCAGTGATTCTAGAACATTTTGTTTAAAGTGTTTTTAAAGTATTTCAGAAAAAAATACAATTGTAACTGTGCCTATCAACTTTATTGTTTTATGAGAAATGGAGGAGGATGGCACAGAGAGAATGTACTCTGTGAGTACTAGAACTTTATTATATGTTTTTAATGCATTAACTAAATTTATAAGGCTGCCCAACTCAAACAATGTGACTCTGGTCAGCATACAGCACAAAAGAAATGATAAAACAAAAACAAGAATACTGCACAAGTAAAATGTGGCATTTTGGTTCCTCCAATGCTCAACCTAGTGTGATTAATTAAAAATGTTTGGAAACTTATGGAATGACTAGTACAGGTGCCTATTAACTTGAAATAATTCTGGAGTTTAAATTTTTTTTTTTTAAAAAAAACAAGCTTTATTGAATATAAAACTAAAATAACGAACAAACACATACATGACATAGGAAAAAGATGGGGAAAAAAATCACACAAAAAAATCAACAAATAAAAGCAAGCAATTCCATTATCAACAGTTTGTAGTTCCTTATTTGTTATCATTAGCTAGTTACTATGTTCATAATAAAAACATGCCTAAAGTTTCAAATAATATGATTCCAAGTCCCTTAATAAAAGAATATTGTATAGAGACTAAGTAAAGAAATAATTAAGCATTTCTCCTTGAATAAGAAAACCACATACGTTAAAGAGTATGATTCTTCAAATCCAGTGAGCCACAGACAAACAAAGCAGGCTGATTTGGAGGCCAGGGAATTTTAAAAATGCTCTGAGAACCACCAGCCGAGGACTTGCCAGTAGCTGATTTTTTTATTAAGCCATTCAGTACAATTTCAGTATTTTAAGACTTGTTTCTCTTTATAATCTGAGTTTTACTTGCATGGTTTCTGTCAGATATAAATTCCAGGTAGACAATCATTTTAATCTAATACATATTCTGATTAGTGTAGTTTTACTTTTGAATTTTAGAACAATTCCTATTTTTCTGAAAACATACTTAGCTAACATTCAAATACTCTTTGGATTGGGTAGTAATATAATTTAGAATTTGGCAGTTCTACCAAGAACATGAGCTTTCATAATGCAACATATTTCATCCTATTTGTGTCTATTGGATGAAATCCAAAGAAGCGGGATGAGCTGGAACTTAATCACAGTCTTAAGCACATAAGGCTTTTTTGTCCTAATGGGGATTTCAGTTGTTCCAGATTTCTTTGGACTGAATCTTAAATATTGATGGTGCCAATAAGGAGGGTCCAATCATACCTCTTGCCTCCATGGTGACAGTGTGTGTAAATAATTCCAGTTTTCCCAAAAGCTATTATAGAGTAGCAAGAAACCAGATAATTATGCAGACTAAGGTATATAAAGAACACACTTAGCTATTTTGTAAAAACTATTTTCAAAGGTAGGAAACTCTAGAAGCATGTTTCTTCTCTTAGGGAGTGATTTTAGTTGGGTTATTCCTCTTGAAACTTCCTACTTTTAGGCTAGCAATGCCTATTTTTCTCATAGGAATAGCAAAAGTTCCTTTGCATCCACTCTTTACAGTACAATTATACCTGTATTTTCAGCAATATAACATGATAAATTCAATGATATTTGCATTTAGGAAAGTGTACATCATAGCCTTTCCAAGTTTGGAAGTGATGATTGACATGCATACCCAACTCCATTTTGGATTATTGTTTGCTGAGATGAAATTTAAGGCAGGATTTATTCTCTAAAGCAGAGATCCGTTTTCCTTTGGCAGTGCTATCTTCTGAAACATAGAGGCAGTAACTAAATACCTGCACAACATA